GTTAGTTCTAATTAATATCGTATCCTACGATGCCCCATTGGCTCTGCGCGTTGGTTTCCGATGCAGACAACGACATTCTTGTGCCTTCGGCACTGGTTTACAGAAGAATTAACAGACATGACATACAGAGACCTGCCTCTCCCGACATCCTCGAGAAGTGTAACTTTGGTGCCACCCTAATAGCAAAATGTGCTCTGAATGAGCTAGCAGGGAGCTCGTTTTGCGAGGTACGTGAGCTCTACTGGAGCACTGAAATGGTTATCGATCAGAGCTCATACGGAGCTCGCAAAAACGAGCCCAATATGAGCTCTGAAAAACGGGCTAGCGAGGTCGTTCCGAGCTTGGCACGAGCTCCAAAAAACGAATTTCAGCGCTTACCCAACCAGGGGTTCCTCTCACTTGTGCTGCCCAATTCCCATTAATTACCCTTTTTTTCGGGTTAGTTAAATAAAGGAACACATGTTTGGATAAGGAAAATTGTATTGTAAAAAAAATAGATTTTATCTGATATGTGTTTTAATACATTAAAGCACTATGGCTGTTGCTCCCCGTTGTTATTGGTGGGGTCTGTGATACTCGTGGCGGGGTCTAAAAGGGAGAGATTTCGCAGTGGTAAGTACACATATTATGATTTATGTGATTAGCCTCCACTGAGGTCTTCTGGTGCGTCTCTGCTTTTCTTTAATTCACGTGTTACATTATGTTAAAAACATCATCACACACTGTCTCCAACTTTTCCAAAGGTCCTTTTAGGCTACTTCGGCTTATAACTCCTTACACGTTCATGTCCGATTCCTGCTGCACATACTCAACCATACGACCTTCAGAAAGATAAGCACGGGCGGGATGCATGACCCGTGGTTGTCGGCGCTGTCGTTTACGCATACATCTTTTCGACCCGCCGAACACTCCTCACCAACCAACTGCGTGAAATGCGAGTGACTTGCCCCCCCTCCCCGCGTGGCAACAGTTTGGCGTCAGTCGACGTGACTCGCTTTGCTGATTGGGTGGAGGCCGAAAAAGCCCGGGCGCATGCACGCACTTCGCGTCGGGGTTAACAACCTCAACAACTGGCGCTTGGCTGGGGGGGGGGGGGATTGCTGCCATTGGCAGTTGGGACGCCTGTAGCCTCTCTTGCAGCTGTAAAGGTGGTCCAACAACCGTGTGTGCCCTGACATCTTGTCAGCCGTCGTACCTAGGTAAACTCACCTAACTTTTTACGCGATTTTAGTGTAAATTACCGCAGCAAATCACAAACTGACCGTTACAAAGATGATTGCTGTGGTAGTTGGAAATTATCGGATATGGAAAAAGTCCGCGATCTCAAGAGTGAGTTCTTGCTTATTCATCAGGTGGCCTGTGAAGTAGTACACATCACTGGAAAAACTGCGACTACGGGGGGTTTATCGCAGAAGTCTATGCCGTGAGTGAGACCCTGGCTCCCACGACGCTCAAACGCGGTCCCGAGCAGAAAGACAATGCGGACGCCAGTTGGGAGGATGATGTATTCTGTACAGAATAAATAGAGAAGGAGGTGGAGAGAGTGAGACTCTGGCTACCCCGACCGTAAGAGGATTGCTCATTCTGTACAGAATAACTGGAAGAGGAAAGAGGGAGAGAGTTCGCAGTGAACGAGGGCACGTCTGGCGTCGGGAGAGAGGCGTACCAAGTCTCCGTCAGGGAATGCGTCACAGCATCTAAAGCCAGGGCACGTCTAACTCGACCTTGGATTTGATTGGCCGGTTGGAAAACCGTGTAACGACCGACCTTGTCGGGGCTTCAGCGGTCGTTGTCTCGTCTGTGTCTCCGCAGGGTGCCTGAGGTGGAAAGTCCTGGTCCGCAGCACCTTTCCCTTTGTGAGTATCATTCATTCCGGTCTTCGAGGCATTCCTCACCAAATATAACACACCAAGCGATATGACAAGTGTTTATTTGTAAGAACCGGGATGGAACGTAAACACAGGGGAGAAGGGAGAGTCAATCAGTTCAAATAAGCGTTATCTTCAC